GACCCCCTCTTTTAGACGACAGCAACAGAGTTGAGTAGTTGTGACAGAGTCCCGACAGTCTGCAGAGCCTAAACTATCTGACCCCGAACAGAAAAACTTGCCAACCCTGAACTAGATTATCTCTAATAACGACTCCGGATTCTATATAGTGCAAGCACACATTACAAAAGCCTGCTCTGTGTGTTTCTTGCCCTCTTTGTTTACACATGCTGTCTTCCTCTTAGAAGGATTTACTATGGCTCACAAGGCTAACAGGACATGTACCTCCTACAGGTGAAGGCCAAACAGGAGATAGGAAATCAATGCCGAGATGAAAAGGAGAGATAAGGCAGTGCAGGGGGAGGGGTGTGAATACATGAAATATGAGCCATGAGCCACTGTGTATTTTCATGGGCCCCCAACGTGGCTTTAAGCAGTCATACAAAGACGGCCATGCTCCCTTCACCAACCCAGTGTTCACCAGGGGTGCACCAGGACAACACAGCCATCCCTGGCACAAACACCTATTTGGCTCCTAACTCTAAGCTTAAAGTAGATAACATGAGATAAAATGAACAAAGTCCCCCAGATACCCAAACAGCTGTGAGGTATCCCAGAAGTAGCCACCGCTTCATTGAAATGCTCCCTAGTGTGGGCCAACTCAAATCCCAAAGGGAAACTTACCAGTAATTCATCCAAAAGCTGTAAATAAGCATATGCCACTTTTATGATCAGAAAACACAAAATATTTTTGAATTAAAAAAATACAGAGAAAGGAAGCAATAACCCTGGACAGCCTGTTGCTTACTTTGACACAGAACCCTTTAGCTTCAAGAGAAGAGCCTGCTGTTTTTGTGAAGCTAAGCACTGTTGCTGAGGTGAGAGACGAAGCCCAGGTGGGCTATTCTGAGACCTGGTCAAGGAGTTGTTAGCACGAAGATGTGGAGGTGTGAGGCGTTATCCCTGAGACTCCATGGTGAAAGGTGACTGTCATTTGTCATTTATTACACCGAGCTTTCCAACTTTCCAACTGTCTCCTGTTTATTAAAAGAAATAATTCACACCTAGTAATTCACAGCCTTATACCAGTGCCTAGAAGAGAGCTCTGTGCAGGTAAGAACAGCACTTGCAGAGAGATGTGCTGAGAAGCCCTGAGGATCCTGTATGCAAATTAAATATTGAAAAGGGAAGCTCTGAATGATGGGTGTCTGGTCTAGCTTTGGTCCCACTGCGGCAAGGGTGGACATTTGGAGAGCTCAAGACAAACACAGCCTTGATTCTGAACAGGCCACACTGCGTTCTCTTGAGCAGAGAGACGTCAGAGATGTTCTCAGAGACGTCAGTGTGAAATCTCTTCCTTGCTCACAGTAACATCCTGCCTTTTCAGGTATCTCTTGAAACTCTGAAATGCCCAAACTCTGTGGGAGCAGAGGCTGGTGGAACCCTACCTGAATCTCAGTTGAGTCAGGGCAACCTTGGCAGAGTTTTTTCCAAAGAGACAGTCAAAAAGCAGTTGGCACCGCAGCCAGTGCCAGGCAGGGAGGACTGGGCAGACTGTGCTAGTCTGTGCAAATGTTAAAAGAATCAGGCCAGTCCAGCTCCAGGCCTAATTGGCTCAGAGATGGTAATGGAAAAATGTCATAACCAACACAAAAGCTGGCAGTGCTTTAGCCAAGAAGAGTCATTATCTTCAACTGCAAAGTAATGACACAGAAAAAGCCCTGAACAGGACTGCAGGCCTGCAGGTAAGAGCCTGCTTCTGCAGCTTGAGGTTGAATATTCTTAGGCAAGACTGCCCTTTGAATATGCCTCAGTTTCCTTGACTATAAAATGAAGATGAATTCACTGATAAAACTGGCTGGCGGGCTCCCTTGCAATGCACCCCTATGACACAACAGCCAAATGGGAGATACAGTGTCCCTGACCTTTCGATCCCATCATCAAATCCAGAGCCTTGCATACAAATGGGCTCACAAGAGGATCTCAGTAATGTTTTTGCTGGTAGTCGTAGCTAACAGGTGCACTTGGCGTCTGAGTTCTGCTTCCAAAATATCACCCACATCTCTCCACTGCCTGGAGTCAGTTCAAGTCCTGTCTCACCTTAGTCACTGCAGGAAATCTCTGCCACAGGTGCTGGGAGCTCACTCTGTGACTCAAAGACCTCCAGCTCCCCTGTGATCACTTGGTCTCTGTCCACTTGGGATTCTTTCTGCACACCAATCATGATACCTCCCTCTCCAATTTCCTTTTCCTACAAAACTCAGTGCAGATTCTGGAGCTCAGCATTTACCGGTTAAGCTGTCTCTAGTCCACCTCCACAGTCCTGTTGTTCTTGGTGCCTTTGTGTTCACAGCTGAAACTCATTCCCTCAAAACCCAGGTCCTCTCTGTGGCTCTGCTGATCCCTGTTAGAATGCTTTGCTCTGCTCTGAGTTTGCATGAGTTAGCATTTCAAGATGCTAACTCAAATGCTTTCCATTTTATTTGGGTTCCTCCTCAGTGTCTGACCCACCAAGTAGTGTGTTTCTGGGTTTTATCTTTGCTATCTTCTCCACCAGCAGGTGTGCACTCAGTTCCTCTTGAAATGGGAGTTGCAGCTCACAGCCTTTCCTTCCTATGATGGCTTTCTTGACCTCCTAACTCCTCATACTTAGCCTCCTTGCTACACATGCAATGCTGGTATTCATAGCAGTTCTCCTCCAGACAGTCCTTCCATAATTTCCATTCATGGTGCCATGGAATCAGAACCATTCCTTGTTTCCCATGGACTGAAAAATATACCTGGCCCAGAATACATAAGACTTAGCTGGTGGAAACAGAATTAGAAGTGTTGACAGTGGCCACACATATGCAGTGGACCTGACACTTGTGCAATCAAGCTGTGCTCTCCCCGCCCACCATCACACTGGACGTATAGAATACATGGCCTCCACTCTGTCCTGTGTAAGGATTCCGAGACCTACATTTCAAGCTCTATAAGTTTCCTATGCAGAGTCCCCTCATGGACAAACTCAAAAGAGCACTGGAGACATTGCAGGATCAGGAAGGGGAGATGAGGACAGTACCAGCAGAGCCCCAAGGCAAAAGCCACCTTCATTCCCCGATCTTTTCTCCCCCGTCTCTCCTGGGCCTCACTGGCCCAGATGATCCCTTCACTGTCTTTCTCCATGTATCACTGTCTCTTTCCTCTCCAAAATCCAAATTCTAAATTTCTCCCCTTTCTGGGTTGCCACCAAATGACATCAACCAGAGAGAAGATTCAGCTCAACTTGCGTCCCTCAGCTATCAGAACCCTGTCCTGCTCAGAAGCTGTTTGGCCACCACCTTTATGACACAATCAAGACATGCGATGTCATACTCCTTCCTGAAAGCCATTGTGCAATATTTAACCCAAATATAAGGTACAGCTCTGTTGGGGCTTTGTTGCTACTTTGTGGCAGGAATGTGACAGGGACATAGCAGCTGTGGAGCAGGTTTGCAAGGCAAGACTCTGCTGCTTGAGTAGACGTTCTCGGGCCATTTATTGAAATTATAAAGGCTAATAAAAGCTGGTCATGCAGCAATGGTATGGGGAACAGGGTCCAGATGCTGGGATAGTGTTATAAGAGACAGGCAAGGGGACATCATGACCATGTATATGATGTTATCACAGGCAGAGTTAACCCAGACCACCAGGGAGACAGTCACGTAATCAGGTCAACAGAGGCTTAGCATCCCCGGGCCCGCCTTATGATTCCTATCCTCTGAAGGTAGTTAGGAATGCTCTGCTGTGACTTGTAGATGGCCAACAGGTCATAGTTGCCCATGAGTGTTCAGCTCATAGGAACCCACACAGTTTTCCCAAAGGATTGTCTCCATCTCCTACATCTACAATCACCACCTCAGTGAGACTGTGCTGTGCAGCATCAAGGGTGAAGACATTTATTTTCCAGGAACCCCACCTGATCTCTGACCCAGTCATCAGGACACCCCATTCATTCAATCTATGTATGAATCACTCTTCCCAGAGTGCCAGCAACAGACCCAGGGAGAATTTCCAGAATCATAACGACAAGTCATTTGGAATGTAGCATCCATCTAATGAAATTTCTGATCCCAGGTAGAACCAAGGAAACCAACTAGACAAGGCTACCAGGGTAAAGGTGCCCACCTAGCATAGGAGTATGACCAAAACAAGACAACCAACGTGTGCCTGTCTTCCCAGAACTTTCCCAGTCTCTGCATTGTAAGATCCATGTCCAGCCATCCCCCAGTTCAAGGCAAACAGGTACAGTTGGCCTGTTCCACCCATGCTCCTTGCCAAGAACTAGGAGCTGAGTGAAGCCAAGCTCTCTACTGGCATATCAGGGAGGATGTGGGAAACATACAGGAGGGGCAGGAGCCCAGGCCACAGCTGGGCCTGGGAGATTGCGTCATCAGAAATAAAGTCACACAGCCAGAGCTCCATGGCCAGACGGTCTCCAGTGGCTATTTATGAGTTCCATCACCAGTGTGATTGAAGATTTCACCACGGTCAGAATCCAGATCACCCAGGACAAGAGACTAGGAACCCGCCCACCAAAGGGTTCTCTGCTTGGCTACCAAAGGACAACAGTAACATCCCCAAGAGACCACAAACCCACCCCCTCCATATTCCATGATCAGAATGGCTTGAATACTGGAAACTTACAGATGTTACAGCACAAGTTTCCTTGACCCCTTCTCCCCCACAATGGTGTGTGTGTGTGTGTGTGTGTGTGTGTGTGCGTGCGTGCGTGCACACATGCATACCTGTCCACTCTGCATGGCCCCCAACAGACCCTTCCTGCCTAGAGTCTGACCTGCTTTGCAAACTTCTCCACCAACCACTGGCTTAGACATGCACAAAGAACCCAGTGTCTCTTCCATGGCGACACAGAAGCACTCGCCATTCACCCCACCTCCCAATGACCTGAAGAAGACCCAGCAAAATATCACATCCCCAAAACAAAGCAAAGTTGGACTGGACAGCAGACTCCTGCAAAGAGGGAGCCAGGGACTCACCAGGACTCTGCCGGTCAGTGTCTGGGCGGATATCATCACCCCTGCCCAGTCCTTCACAGAGGTCATCCAGCCGACCTCGGCTGCCACTGCCTCTTCTTTTTCGTCCACTGGCTTGAGTGTGCCATCCGCCTGGCTGGTGCCATTATTAATCTTCTGGGCCTCCTGGCAACAGAAAGAACAAGGGTTGAGACACCAGGACCTGCTAGATTTAAAAACACAACCCACCCAAAAGAATCAAAGCCTCAGGGTCCTGACAGAGGTGGAAGCTGGCATGAAGAGGCGTGGAGAAGGGAGGCGGGAGGGCGATGGCTTTGATAATCTTTCTTTCTTTAATCTTGCTTAAAATATGTTTTCTTTGCTTTCTCTTGAAATGGCTTCATGAAAGAAAGAAAAATGAGAGAATTCTCTTCCATTTCTTAAAAACATCTCACTCAAAAAGGAAAGCATCACATTGAGGGCCATGGAGAGGTAGCTGACAGGGTGCTGGGTTGGCAGCAGCCAGCTCCCCCTGGCCAGACCCCAGCACTTCTCAGGGAGTCTTTGCCATTCCTTTCTCCACTGAAGTAGCACTAATTTCTAACGGTATGTACATTTCAGGTTTTCAGACTTAGAAATGCAACATCTACATCTACTACAACATGCTCACCTCCAAAAGGCTAGTTTCCACCCGCTGGCACACAATTGACCCTTTTTAGCCAACTCAGCCCCCTGTTTCCCCTTCCTTCTGGTAACCACCATTTTAGCCTTGTATTCTTAATGATTATTATTTTCCTTGTTTCATGTGTTCATTTGAAGATGTGGAGAAAAGGGAACCCTCACACATTGTTGGTGGGAATGTAAATTGATGCAACCATTGTGGAAAACAGTGCGGCGGTTCCTCAAAAAGTTAAGAATAGAAATTCCATATGATCCAGTTATCCCACTGCTGGGAATTTATGCAAATACAAAAGTGCTAATTCAAAGAGCTCTATGCATGCATGCCCATGTTCAGTGCAGCATTTCTGGCAATAGCCACGAGTCGGAAACAACCTGAGTGTCCCATCAACAGGTAATGGACAAAGCTGTGGAGTGTACACACAGTGGAATACGATGCCACTATCAAAGTGACAAGAACAAAGGAATCCTGCCATCTGCAACCACAGAAATGGGTGGTAAGGAGACTGTATTCATTGAGATAACTCGGAGAAAGACAAACACCATCTTTCCTTAAAGGAAATTCTAATCTTACCTCAGTCTGTGTGGTTCCAAAGATTGAGAGGCCACACCTGCCCTAGGTTAGCACTGACCTCTGGATCATTCTATTCCCCCTGGCTACAGCAACCAAGCCAGGGATGGTTGCGTGACCTATGCCAACCCCATACCACTCAAGAACCCCAAACCACTCAAGCCTGGAATTTTTGCTAGAAAGAGTAGGAAAAGGAACCCACCCTTGGGAATGAGACTGCCACAGAGGAAGATGAAAGTGATGGAACGAGAAGGCCATCGCTGAACATTGTATCCAGCAGTGCCTGAAAGCCACCCCGGACCTTCTGTTATAGAAGATGATAAATTCCACCTCATGGCTTAAAAGGCGCTTGAAGAACTAAGGCTGACCTCAACAGATAGCCGAGTTCCAAGTAGGATTGTAAAGTGAACATGTCTGCCCACCAATGTGACTTCTGCCCACAATATTCCTCTCAGAGGGTCCCAGCTTGCTCCTTTACATAACCCCTTCAAGTCTTTGCTCAAATGTCACCTTTCCAATGAAGTCTTCTCTGGCCACTTTTTGATAACTGCAACCCTGTCTTCTCACACGACCACCTTCCATGTTTTCCTCATAACACTTCAAAGCCTCGGAAACACTCTGTTTACTTAATTATTTCCTTTATAGTCTGCCATTCCCAAACTACTGTATCTATCCCAAGTGCCTAAACCAGTGCCTGGTATATAGTTGGTTCAATACACATGAATGTCTGGATCAAAATGGTTATGAGTAGCAGTCCCTCTCTGACTAAAAGCCCAGGCTTGGGGTTGCCAAATAAAACATAAGACACCCAGAGGACTTGGATTCAAGTAAACAGCAAAGAATATTTTTAGTGTAAGTATGCCTCAAGTGTGGCACAGGACAGACTTATTCTAAAAACATCTTCATTATTTATCTAAAATTTAAATTGAATTGGGCCCTCCACTCAAATACCCACTGAGATTATTTTTGCAAACACAGACTTTTAAAGATGCCAGCAAATTATGTTCATCATTTAAAACCTAGAATTGATTTCCAAAGCAAACAGACACTAGGGACCATGGTGAGTTGGGGGGTGGGGGGGTGCAGAAGCAAAGGCGGAAGTGAAAAATCTTATCTGCAGTGAGTGGGGTGCGGCAGTGAGGCAAGCAGAGCTGGGAGGCGGGTGAGGGACACTGGATGAGTCATCCTCGGGGACTCGTGGGCAGGCAGGAAGCTGCTCCTGACTTCTGGTTCTCTCCCTCCATCCGCCCTGCACGGGGAACCAGGAGGGGAGAAACAGCACCGGCCACAGGAGCGCTCCTGTTTTATTTCCCAGTGTAACAAGTCCAACTGAGCTGAAACAGTCCAGAGCAAGCCTCGGACGGGGGCACCACAGGGTGGGCATGTTGGGGGGCTGCCTGCTCACATCTGGAGCCTCTGTCCTAGCAGCCTACAGCGACTTTGACTTGTCAGGACCCCATGTGGAGTGTGAACAGGGAGGTCCTGTTCAAGGCCCAGGGGCAGTCTTGGTCACTGAAGGTGTTCCACCACCCACCCCCCCGCCCTATGGAGCCTCCCTCTGAGATGACCACCCTGCTCAGGTGAGATGAAGCAGTGACCAATAGCCCACAGTATGTGTTCAATTAGTTAGTGCCACACTCCCTGTTTCTCCTCACTGGCCCTCCAGGAGTGATTTTCGAACTTGCTTGAGCATCAGAAGCCCCTAGAGGCATGTGAAATCAGTGTGCTCAGCCCTTCCCCAGGACCCTGCCTTTCTAACAAGCACCCAGGTAATGCTGGTGGTGCAACTGTGTGGGAACCCCACTTTGAGAACCACTGTTCCTCATCATGGACCTGACCAGTTTTCGATCCTGATCTGAAATGAGACATGGATCTGAGCCTCCCGCTCTTCCTGGCCCCTCTCTCCACCCTCGCATAGAATCACCTGCTTTTTCAGAATTCGAGAACACTGGAGTAGGCAGTGGAGAGGTGGGGAGGGAGACAGTCCTGGATGGGGCTGGGCCTGGGAGAGGTCTAGCTCTCTGCTCAACCCTAGAGGCACAGGCTGCACAGTCCTGGGGCAGACACCAGAGAGGGGAAATCGGCACAAAGGGAGGGAAGGCGGAGAGTCCTCTCCAGGCACAGTGGTTTTAATGCATCAATAATTCACAGCACAAGAGGTATATGGCAGATAATGCTCTCTTGCCAGCCCTCTTACCTATTGTTTTACAAGGCATTCATTATTCTAATTACTTTATGATAGGCAAGGAAAAACACAGACTAAAGGGAGATAATGCCCTTGTTATTATTTTGCTTACACTAAATGTCGTGAGCTTAATTACCATGTGTGGGAGGCAGGACTGGGGGAGTGGCTGGGAGAGCAAGGAGGCGGAAGCTCTACAAACCCGGGACCAACAGGGCCTTCCCAGGCACAGGGAAGGCCCCTCTCCACCTCTGATCCTGATCTGGCCAAAGCACCCCTCGGGAAAAGCAGATCTAACCCCGTGCTCCAGAGGGAAAGGGTAGAGGCCGAAGAGTGCTTTCGTGGCCTTGCTGGGGACACGCAGGCAGGGAAGCGTGGTAAGGGGCAGAGCCCATTATACTAGTGGTCGGCCACCATTTACAAAGCCACAACTGGTTGCCAGCAACTAAAACAGCAACTGAAAACTGAGTGCCGGCCCTCCCTGGCACAGAGGGTTAAAACACAGCACTGGGCCCTCCCTGGTGGCGCAGCGGGTTAAAGCACAGCACTGAGAATCTAAAGCCGCTTCCTCATGAGTTCAATTCCCGCCTGCCCCAGAGGTGACCACATGGCGTGGCAGACCTCTCCTGACCCGCCCGCTGCTCCCCTCAGCAGTGCATTTCGTTGATCTGCCTGTTCTGCTCTCCACTCTGTCTCTGGTGAATTCTCTCACCCTCCACATCTCTGGCCTGTATCCCAGTTCTGTATGCACAAATAAAATAAAATCTTTAAAAAAAAAAAAAAAAACACAGCACTAAGAAGCTAAAGCCACTTCAGCATGAGTTCGATCCCCGCCCCGGGAAGGTGACCACGTGGTGTGGCAGACCTCTCCTGACCCCCACTGCTCCCCTCGGCAGTGTATTTCAGTCAATCTGCCTGCTCTGCTGCTCATCTGTCTCTGTTGAAGGCTCTCACCATCCCCGCACCTCTGGCCTGTACCCCAATTCTGTATGCATAAATAAATCAATATTTTTTAAAAATTGAGTGCTGTTTATGCATGATTTTGCTTGTAATCAATGTGACAGAGAGGTGGAGTTATGCCCAGTTTACAACAGGGCAACTGACAGCAGATGATTCTCAGGGGAAGATTCGGAGTCTGAGAGCCCACCTGGTGTCTGGTCCGCCTCCTCCATTAAAGCGGGGGCAACACGGCAACCCCTTGCGGTGGTGGCAGAGCTTATATGAGTGTTTGGCATGGTGCTTGGCGTGAGGTGGTTTCCCCAGGTAGGGCCACCTGTTGACAGGCCAGAAAACCTCCCAGGACATCTGCTAAAGATGTCCCGTGGCACCGATCGGTGGCTCTGGGGGCAACCGCGGCCCAGAGTGAAACCTTAGTCAAAGACACGGAACAGAGGACAAGCAAGTGAAATGTCAACCAGGCAACACCGGGGCCTAGGAGGTGAGGTGCCCCACTTCCAGAGGAGTTCTGCAGGAGCTGGAGGGCACTCCCCCAAGACAGCCGGGGCAGGAAGTCCTACCAGGGTCAGTTCAGCACCAAGCGACTTCTTTGATCTATAAGCAACACTAGATCCTCCTAGATATGAGGAGACTGAGTGAGGAAGGCTGCCCCCCCCCATGTCCCAGGACAGGCCTCTCTCCTGTGCCCTCCACGCTGCCTCAGGAGGGAATGGTGCTCTGTCCTGAGGTGGATGTCCATCTGTCCCCAAACCTTCTACTTTCCACTGCAGAGATAGCACCATAGAGAGGAACACGGAC